TTTTTTAATAAAAAATTTCCGACTTACCTCAACATTGGTAATATTTGAATCAAATTCCACGCTAGACATTACACTATTTGTTTGGTTTTCCATAAGTTTTGCTAGCTCACACATGTATTTGCTTCTTTTCGACATAATTATTATTAAATAAGTATTTTTAAACCCGAACAGTCAGAAAAATCAGACACAACTGAATAAAAAGAAATGTTTATCAATACATAGGCACATTTACTTAAAACTAAAGGAAAGTGATTACTATGCTTAAGATGAGTACCTATAATAAATTAATTTTTATCGACCAAGTTCCAGGGTTTATACGCACAAGGCACGTTTTAAACATTAATAGGGCACATTCCCGTAATAAAATTTTATTATCGACCGAAATCGAAGATTCAAACTACTTTTAACATATTAATGAAATAGTAAACGTAAAATGATACCAAGTGGTTTGGACGATTTCTGATTATACTCTTATTTTTAACAAGTATACCGAAATTTATAAGTAGAAAACATCCAATTCACTTGGATGTTTTTAACACAAAAAAATGCACAGTAGTTTTGTTATCGCATGGAGCGTTAAAGTGATCCAACCCACTTAGCCTGTTTTAACCACTCTTTTAACACGATTACTTAGATCGACATACATTTTTTAGAAAAATTCAACCCACTTGGATTTTTTATTATCAATGAAAATCTCAGTTAACCTAGTTTGTGGGTTAGAACTTTGACGATTATTAAAAGAGTATGTAATGTTTTCACTTGGACGGTTTCTGCATATTATAAAGCAAGAAATTATATGCTCGCTGGTGTAAAGAACTCATTTTTAACAATTTGTGGGTTGGACGTTTTCTGCTTAACTACGTCCAATTAATATATTAATATATTTGTAGATTCTAAAAGCTATATAAAGGGTAGCTGATCAGAAATCCTTGAAGATGTTACACTGCCACAATTTTAAGAATACTAAAACAATTTTTAATTGAAGGTGATTACTTGGCAACATCGTACTTAACGAAGCCCTTAACGATAACTTTTCAACGAAATCGTAGTAAAATTATCAATTTTGCAGAGGCGTACCAAAAAAAATTTTAATTATTTATTTAAACACATAAGTAATTACGTAAAAATTAAATCTAAGACCGATTTAATTATTAAATTATCATGTCTCTTTTAACAGGTATCTTATAGTTGTCTAACAAAATAAAATAAAATTTTATTCTTATTAGAGAGTATCTAATACAGAACTTCAAAAAACAGAAAACTTTGGAAAATATTTTTTTTTTCATTAGACTAAAAACAATCTGCAATTTTAATTACACATCACTACACAGTATTCTCTATTTATAGAATTGCTGTGTGCTGTAAACGTTATATTTGTTTTTTTTAACTTAATTTGAAAGTTTGCTTGTGTTTATTTGTTTATATAAATATGAAAATATATTATGAAGTTCATATAAATTAAAATGAAGTAAGCTAAACTATTATCATATGAATGCGTTTATATAGCAGTGCATTTGTTTATTTCAGTAAATTCTCGAAATATGAAATGAAGATGGCACTAACTACTAAAGAGTTAATAGCTTTGTTAGAAGAAGACTCAAATTGTGAAAATGCCACTTAATGTGACTTATTTAAATAAAGTTTCTGATGTAGAAGACATTGATCTTCTTCTTCTTCTTCCTTCTAGTTTGTAGGCTTTAAAGCCTGTTTCTTCTTCAATATTAGCTTCCTAAATTGTTTAAATTGTCGCACCATCTTTTTCTTGGTCTGCCAATACTTCTTCGTCCATTTGGTGACTTATCTCATGCTATTCGTACTATTCTATCCTCCGCCATTCTACTGATGTGTTTGTTCCACTTTTGTTTTCGTTTTGTCACCCATCCATTTATGTCTTCTATGGCTTTATTATTTTCCCATCAATTTCGATTTTACACCGTAGTGGGTCATACATATTTACGAAATGTCATACATTTGTATTTTTCCGCTGATATTATCATATTGTATTTCTTAGCTGTTGTATTGAAGATATGTGTTAATCTTTAGAGCTCGTATTCTGTCTCGGCGATGAATGCGGCGTCGTCTGCATAACATAATATTTGTATTTCTTTGTTCCCAATTCTGTAGCCATGACTTTTACGTACTGCTTGTATTATTTCGTCCATTAATATATTAAAGAGAAGTGGGGTTAACGAGTCACCCTGTCTGACTCCGCTTTGTACTGGTATACACTGTGTTAGTTTTCCATTTATCTTTGCCTGTATTCGATTATGGAGGTAGATGCTTTTGATGGTTTGTATAATATTGATTGGTATGTTCCTTTTATACAGTAGGTGTAAGACGTCTTCGACTTAGATGCGATCGAAAGCCTTTGTCAGGTCTATAAAACATAGATATGATGGCCTTTTCTGTGATTTGTTTTAGTACAAATACGGCGTCTACGCAGGTTCATCCGGATCTGAATCCTTGTTGCTCATCTGATAAAGTTGTTAGTTTATTGATTTTGTTGGTTAGGACTTTTGTGGTAAGCTTAAGTGCGGTGTTTAGTAGATTTATACCTCTATAATTGTTGGGGTCTTCTTTATCTCCTTTCTTGACCATTGGTATCAATATGCTGTTTCTCCATGCGTCTGGTATCTTGCAGTGCAATACTAGTTTTTGTATAAGTTTTGTCATCTCTAGGGTTAAACTTTCTCATCCGTATTTTAGAAGCTTGTTGGTTATTCCGTCTGATTTTGGTGACTTTCTATTTTTGAGTGAATTTATGACTATTTCTACTTCGTGAAAACTGATTTTTATTTCGTCTCTTAGTTCAGGTACGTTATTGTGTTGATTATTATTTTCCTTTGCTTTAAACAGTTCCGTCAGGTATCTTTCCCATTCGTTTGCTGGTATATTATTGTATTCCTTGAAGAGATTGATGATAATATTATTTGTGAAGAATCAATAAAACCGGATATTGCATTGTAAATTGCATATTGTAAATATGAAATACAAGTGATTGGGAATTCTAACGATTCTGATTATGATATTCCTCTGAACCACAGATAAAACGTCCAAAGAAAAAATCAGGCAAAAATAGAAAATCCAAATGTATCTCAAGTTGTATATTCTTTCGTGCTCAGTAGTAATTCAACATCGATCTGATTGATATTTAGACAATATAAAAGCCAACCATGTAGGCAAGTCATATATTGAAGTTTTTCCACTCTTTTTGATAAAAAAGTAATTGAGAATAACCGTCACAATTTTGAAATGAATAACATAGATTTAAAAAAATTATTAGCATATGTATATTATCTGGTTTACACTCTGCTTCAAGTTGATATGCATTGGTCAAAGGATGAGGATAAAAAGTACATATTACAAGAGAAAGCATGAGCCGACATAGATTTATAATTTTAATTTATAATAGTGAAGAAACCGCTACATCAGTGTCAGTACATGGTCGTCAATCTAAATTTGCTTTACCAGATGAACCCAGATTCGACAATATTGGCCACATTATAAAAAGAGACGATAGTGCAAAAATGTAGGATGTACAAAAGTAATACTATTTATTTATGTAAAAAGTGTAGAATGCATCTACACCCCGAATATTTCGAAAATTTTTACCTTAAAATTTAATTTACGTTTAAGATGTTCCTTTATTAAAAATTGTACTGTTTTCCTTAAAAATGAGAAAAAAAATCTTTTTGGTTGTAATTTATTCATAATTTCTGTTTTTAATCCAATCTAATAAATTAATTGTCAAATTTCTCTTTGTATATTGAGCGGCCGTTAAGGGTTTAATACCATATAAAGAATAAACTGGCCTCAAATTTACTTTACTTACCTCAAAACTATTTTAAAGTTAATAATAAAGGGGAAATATATTCCCAATAATACACTACGCCTATGTACATATGTATAAAATCTGGAAGATATCATATTTCATAAACTTCAATAAACTAAGATATCATATTTCTCTAATTAACATTCTTTCTAAAAACGTAAATATATATAGACCAGCAAAATATTGATAATTTTACCGATGTTACAAACTATTCTATGAACTTGTCTCACTATAGGTACACTCGTGAATCGCACCAATTTATATTGTTACGGGGGCAAATTTATCTTAGATGGGTTACAAATTTACATATTTACATGGGCGAAGCATACACAATAAAAACGACCCCTGTAAGAATTACTAATTTTTTATGGTTGCCGCTACCGTTTAGTTCAATTTGTAGATTAGTCACCTTTAATTGAAAATTGTCCGACATTAGTTATATTATATGCCATTATGCAAAAAACAAAGTTATTAACATTTATAAATTACACCAAAATTAAAGGTTTTTACAACTATCTTGGTAAATTATTTATGTATTTTAGTTTAGAAACTAGCAAATGGAAGACTATTTTAAGATATACAATTTTTATTTGAACTACTTTTCTTTAAATTGTATATAAAACGTTTATAAATGTACGTTACTGTACGTCTTCACGGATTGTTTTATCAACTACCCCTCATATACTTTTTGAACCTTCAAATATCTGCATAAGATTTTTAAATGAAATCGATGATTTTTCTTATGTAGATAAGTGTACATGAACATTTTACTTTTATTCCTACTTTTATCCTACATACGATGTCGTAAAATATTTAATCGTTGCTTAAACCATCCATTGGTTGGTCTGAAGGATATCACAATAAAACTGGACGATATTAGTGAAATTGAAATTAAGAAATCAAAATTATTAAAAAATTTATAAGATCAAAATTTAATAGGCAGTTTGGTGGTTAGGATAAATTGGAGTCAAATGCCACTTATATCCCACATCTTCTATTGGCGATGAGTATGGGAATTGAGACGGCCATGGAAGTGAAGTAACGTTACTTTCTTGTAAAACCAATTCATCAAAACCTTGATGTATGAGAACGTGGATTTTGTTGTTGGAAAAGGAGTTGAAGTTAATTAGTACTAATGTATTATAATATAGTTAGCTATTGTACTTACTTCTAACTTCAAGGGTTGTTAAATTTGGATGAATTGTCAAATTGTAGCGGTGTGGTCTCAAGGAGGTAGGAAGACGTATATTGTTCCATGGGAAGATCTGTCCATTTGTAGCTCTAGGTTCAAAAATTCTTGTCATGTTGGCTTTTTCGTCCACATAACTCGACTTAATATCTCCAGCACACGGGCAATCTAAATAACAATTTACACAGTTAATAGATTTTTCATAAAAATAACTAACGCGTTACCATACCCCGTACAATCGAACAAATCACAATTATGTGCGTTGTTCGATGTTCGTCTCCAAAATACTTTAATTAAATAATTTTAATCAAAAGAGAATAAGTCATTTTTATATATACAAATAAATGTATACAACAAAATCATAACAACTAATCCGGACCTGTACCAGCAATTAATTCGAGAGAGAACTCGAACTTTCTGCAATGAGTCATTGATTGTATGCAAATCCGAAAAAAATCGAATGTCTTAGTTATCTTTATAGAATATATTTGTCCTTAAGAATTAAGAAATAATGTTACCATTAAATAAAAGTTGAAAATTAATCATTTATATCAATAAAACCCTACAAATAAACTCTCGGTATAATAATATCGCAGAATTAACTACTTCCTATTACCATCCATACACTATCTCTTACGAGGTTACAATATGCTTGTCGAAAATGCATAAACCCCCTGAGTATCCGAGGTTCCCATTGCCATACTGAGTTATTCCACTTTTCAATATACCTATTTGATAGCATTTTGAAGGTTTTGTTTAGCAACGTTATTCCTATGTAATCTTGTACACTAATCTATTACCTTTTTTTATGAATAGGGATAACCTCCGTTCTATTCCTTCGGCAGTGTTTCTGATTCCAATTTTTTCTGATCCCTTCTTTTCTGATCATTTTTCGATGTTTTATGGGTTCCGAAGTTATGTTATAAGTCCCAGAGATTTTGTTGTATTTTAGCTGTTCGATTTTCATATACAAAATACTCTAGTTAAATAGTTTGTAGAGAATTAGTTATTTTTATAATTATATACAAACAAATGTATAGGTACAATAAAATCATAATGGCTAAGATCCAATTAAAGTCAGTCTTCATTATTTAGTTTTCAATATTTATTTTAAAATTAAGAAACAATTGTACCCCTAAATAATAGTCATAAATTAATAGCGTATCTGCTTGCGTGAGGTGCCTTCTGTACGCCTTTGTTAAAACTACTATGGCACAGACAGGTGCCGCTTAGAGGAAGATCAAATGCACAACAGAATAAGGGGCACTCCTCTCAGATTTGGGCCCTCCAATGTTTAACATGATACCTCCAGCGCGGCAGAACTCACCGCAGCTCTGTAAGTCAGCACCTTTACGTGCTCCTCACACCATCTCAGTCACTCATAAACACCCTCGTTCCTGCGCATTCGAATATTATTACATTCCTTTTCCTTGGTCCCATGAGAACTATGGCCTCGGCCTTACCCGCAGCCATATCTAGTCATGTATGTTCATCCATTACTCAACTTGGTAGGCACCGAAATTAAGGTCTTTCCTGTTCCGCGCCACTACTAGCATAGCGGGGTAATCAGCAAACTCAAAAGCGGTTACACCCTCTCTGTATTGCTGGCTCACAACCCCATTATATGTCAGGTTCCATAGAGTGGGTCCCAGGAGTTCAGCCGTCACATCAACCTTCTTCTTCTTCGCGTGCCATATCAGAACTATCCGACGTTGGCGATCACCATTGCGAAGGCTTCTGGATCTTCTGCAATATGGTCATATCAACCACCACTCCTTTTTCCACCACAATTTTCCTCTCTGACAGATAGTCCGAAACCAAATTCATCAGATATCCCGTACACTTTCTGTCTCGAAATACCTCTTTCTATTTTAAAGTATTGAAAGCATTCCAGAAGTCAAAAAAACAGTAGAATCGCCCCCTTCTAGACAATCTTACACTGTGCAACTCCCGGAAACCTTCCATCACCGCATCAACAGTGCTCTTGTTTTTTCTAAAACTGTACTACCTAGATGACAGCACGCTTCACTCTTCCATGACTGTGTCGATTTGCCCTCTTAAGGTGCGTTCATTACGGAGACCATCGCATCGTATCCTCGCCTAGAGCATAGCACTGACAGTAAACGCTCGAATTTAAAATAAAATACATTTATTTTACCTGGCATTGATACGATGGTCGCAGCGAGGGTCGGTGGTCGGCACCTCGAGGTGTCGATCGTAGAATACTAGGGACGAGAATCGAAAAAAATACCAAAGTTGGAATACTATGGTCAAAGTCCATGATCCGATACCTGGCTCGAGGCTGGCGCTGCGCTTTGACGGTAAACGCTGGAATTTTTAAAATAATGCATTTATTTTACATAGCATGATACTATGATGCCATCCTATGGTCCAACCGAGGGTCGGCGCCTCGTTATGAACGCACACTTAGAATCCTCTTGTATAATTTACCTACGCACGACAGAAGGCAAATATGTCGATACTTGGCTTCCCCCTTTCGGAATAACACTAGTAGAAAATCGCTGTGTTTCAAAGTGCAGTCAGTGCAGTGTACTCTTAAGTACTGGAGCATTTCGTGTTTTAAGGGTACTCAAAGCTTCATTGAGGTGGTCCATGGTAAAATGTACAGCTAGTTTAGATTCGGCGTCCCACTGCACTCCATATCGGTCGCCGGATGGGAACAGCTCTCTGGTAACCTTAAGCTTAAACTGATTCATTAAGATTTTATACCCCTAACTTCAGAAGCCTTCATGCAACTTGTCACACATTTGTCTTCAGTGTTCCTTCTTTCGCGCATTGTATACCATATCCAGTCTACTAGTTTTGATTACTTCACCTCTTCCTCTTGCTCACATATTCTGTCTTCTGAGCGATTTCGATCGGCATTATGTGCAATTTCTCCTTACAAATGTTGGCTCCCGACAAGTATTTAAAACAACTAGGTCTAGAGTTCCTATCCATTTCATAAGCATTTGTCTTCGAGCTTCCCTTACAGGGAAATCCCAGTCTGTCGCTTTAGCATTGAAGTCCCCCAGAACTACACACTCACATAATTCTCCAGTGTACAATTTAATGAAAAAGATAAATTATAGTATAATAGTGCAGCTACGTTACGGAACAAAACCGTGAGTTATTCGTCTTTTATAATCAAAACATTATCAAGCATATCGTTGATAACGTTAGGTGTCGGCCGAAAGGCCTGTTATCAGAATCACTTTTGGTTTTATAACTGGTTTAAATAAGTACTAATCAGCTTATCTAGTGATACCAGATCCGACTTTAATTTGTCAGCAGTGATACTCTGCTGTGCTTAATAATACTTCTAGTTGTTTCCTTCTAAGAACTAAGCAATTTTATTTAATGCGCTACCTGATACTAAAATAGAAGAGTACTTAATAGCTTTTGGTGAAGTTGTTCATCCACGGCATATTTTATTTTCATCAAGACTGTCAAATAAAAGGATATGTATTTATCTCTTCAACGAATCCTTGGTTGAAATTGTATGTCAAGTCCAGCAAAAATAATAATAAAAGGCGAAAATTTATTGTTAGGCGAAATTAATGTCAGCTTTAACCTGCTTCCAGAATTTCTACACGTCTTCAGTTTTAGAGGATAAACGTATTGTTACGAACATGAATTCTACGTAGCCCATATAACGGTTGCAGCCCGGGACAAGGATGATCTATCCTTCTAGAAGCGACAGGAACTGTCGACCGCTGGAGAGTTCGATTCGTCAGGCTAACGAATTAGAGGTGGACTACGCCAGAATATTCTAGTAGGTACATAATAACTTTTGTATATAAGCATGCCTTCTATGATTTAGAGTTGAGTTGATAAGATATTACCGAACTGTAAACTTATGAATAAATCGTAAAATAGTTTCGAAACACAATTCAGATTTCTGCTTTATAATCTGAGCCTTCTAAAAATTGCAAGGCAAATAGACGTTGATAAAAGATGTTAAAAGAGACATGGGGAATCTAAAATTTGCATTCCACGACATGTCTTTTACAACTAAGCAGAAATCCTTAGCGAATTGTTCTTCTAGTACTCACACAGAGTAAATCCGAAAAAAATCAAAAAAGGCAGCAAATATTTGATTTCACGCAAACAAATCCTATGTATCTCTTGATACGTATTTCGACCTAATAGGTCTCATCAGAAGAGCTATTCATAGGAGTCCTCAACGTGAAAAATCAATATTTTCTGCCTTTTAAGAAGCAACAATAACATGGCTTCAATACGGACGCACTAGCGACATCTAATTACAAAAATCGTAAAATAGTTTCGAAACACAATTCAGATTTCTGATTTATAATCTGAGCCTTCTAAAAATTGCAAGGCAAATAGACGTTGATAAAAGATGTTAAAAGAGACATGGGGAATCTAAAATTTGCATTCCACGACATGTCTTTTACAACTAAGCAGAAATCCTTAGCGAATTGTTCTTCTAGTACTCACACAGAGTAAATCCGAATAAAATCAAAAATGGCAGCAAATATTTGATTTCACGCAAACAAATCCTATGTATCTCTTGATACGTATTTCGACCTAATAGATTTCATCAGAAGATCTATTCATAGGAGTCCTCAACGTGAAAAATCAATATTTTCTGCCTTTTAAGAAGCAACAATAACATGGCTTCAATACGGACGCACTAGCGACATCTAATTACAAAAATCGTAAAATAGTTTCGAAACACAATTCAGATTTCTGCTTTATAATCTGAGCCTTCTAAAAATTGCAAGGCAAATAGACGTTGATAAAAGATGTTAAAAGAGACATGGGGAATCTAAAATTTGCATTCCACGACATGTCTTTTACAACTAAGCAGAAATCCTTAGCGAATTGTGCTTCTAGTACTCACACAGAGTAAATCCGAATAAAATGAAAAAAGGCAGCAAATATTTGATTTCACGCAAACAAATCCTATGTATCTCTTGATACGTATTTCGACCTAATAGGTCTCATCAGAAGAGCTTTTCATAGGAGTCCTCTTCGTGAAAAATCAATATTTTCTGCCTTTTAAGAAGCAACAATAACATGGCTTCAATACGGACGCACTAGCGACATCTAATTACAAAAATCGTAAAATAGTTTCGAAACACAATTCAGATTTCTGCTTTATAATCTGAGCCTTCTCTAATAAATGCTTCCGTATTAGAGAG